TGCAGACTTACTGAAAGAACTGCTAAAGTTTCTTGAGTTTATTTCAGAATAAAGAATAACGAATTGAGCTGAAAAAAAGAACAGGGAAGAGAAATGGTGAACTTTTGATTAAATCTAAGAAAAAACAAAAGTAACAATGCATACAATAATCAAAACGGTATATAACTTGTGGGTAAAACCAAAAATATATATATTTAGCAACTATGGCATATAACTCACAACAGAGGTGGCTGGCATTCCAACATTCTACAGTCCTTGTATTTATCAGAAGAGAATAAAGATTCTGATTACCATTATAGACAGTCAAGTTATGGGTATATATTATAATCTCTACATCAAAAACCAGAAGACTGGATAGTCACAAGCAAAAGAATAAAGTTAGACTGCTACTTCATAACATTCGTGAATATTAAATGAATCATAGGCCTATATGTAAGAGCTAAAACTATTAAACTCTTAGAAGAAACTAAATAAAATTCTTAGAAGAAATCTTCATGACCTTGAGTTAGGCAATAGTTTCCTAGATACAATACCAAAATCCCAAAAGATCAAAGAAATAAAGTTGGACTTCATCAAAATTTAAAAATATTTTGGTTGCAAATAATACCATCAAAAAGTTAAAAGACAACTCATATAACTGGGAAAACATTTCAGCAAATCCTATATCTAATCGGGACTCTTATACAATATCACATAAAAAACCCTTAAACTCTACATAGAAACACAAATGACCAATTTAAAAGGGGGCATAAAAAAATGAAAAGACTTTTTTTATCCATAGAAAGTATAAAAATGGCCTTATTTAAAAAGCACATGAAAAGAGGCTGAACATCATTTGTGTTCGGAGAAATGCAAATCAAAGCCACAACGATAGTGAAGTGCCTTATTAAAAAACACACAATAAGATACCACCTCACAACCACTAGGATGGCTAGAATCAAAATGCCATATAAATGTTGGCAAGGATGTGGAGAAATTGAAACCTCATATGCTGCTGGTAGGAATGTAAAATGGTGCAGTCCCTTAGGAAACAATTTGGTAGCTCCCCAAAAAGTTAAACATAAAGGTACCATATGACCCAGCAATTCTACTCCTAGGTATATACCCAATAGAAAGGTGTACAAGAATATTCATAGGGGCACTATTCTTAAGGACAAAAAGGCAAAAATAATCCGAATGTCCATCAACCAATGAACAGATAAATAAAATGTGGGATTACCCATACAATGGTATATTACTTTGCAATAAAATGAAGTACTGATACATGCTACAGTATGAATGAGGACAGAAAACATACTATGTGAAAGTCGTCACCAAGGACCATATAATAGATGATTCCATTTATGTGAAATGACCAGAATAAAAAAATCTATAGAGACAGAAAGATTAGTCATTGCTTAGGTCTGGGAGTAGGGATGGGGAGTGACAGCTAATGGGTTTCTTTTAGGGGCAGGATGAACATGTTCTAAAACCAGATTGTGGTGATGGCTGCATAATTCTGAGGATATATTGAAAAACATAAAATTGTATACTTTGGGATCTTAACTACATCACAATAAAGCTAACTTTTTAAATGCATGAAAATATAATAATCATCAGAGTAAATGAAAAAAAGGCTATTCAAAAGACAAGCATTGCCCAAATATTTTTAATCCAGCTAAACATATGCAAGAGACACACCTAAAATATTAAAATCCTATTTTGGCATTATGGTATCTGCATAGAGTCTAATTACAAGAAATAATCACACAAAAATAAGTGTCAAGAACATTAGAACTATACCTCAAGTACCAGTATCATGAAAAGCATGCTTTCCTATGCTTTTATTCTTTGTATCTTGATAATGAGAAACTTCTGTTTGTTTCCCTATAGGCAAATGATTGACCTATTCTTTCAGCAACTGTACATGACAGCAATAGTATGCAATTATATGTAAATCTTAGCTCTCATTTTATTATCTAATCACAATTACAAATAACCTTGTCTGCATTATTTTATATTTTCCCATTTGTATATTGAGAAGCTATTTCAAATCTTTGGACAGAAAAAATTACTTGTTTAAAATAATTATAGGAATATACCTTTTATTAATTAGTTCTCAAGTCCTTTTTGTACACTGTCACTTAGCAAACATTCACAACAAACTAAGAAATTTTTTAATAAGCAAGATGAAAAGTTGGTTTTTTGTTTGAGTTTTTTTTTAGACAAAGTCACTCTGTCACCCAGGCTGGAGTGCAATGGTACAATCTTGGCTCATGGTAGCCTGAACCTCCCTAGCTCAAGAGATATGCCCATCTTAGTCCCCGCCCCCCCCCCCCCCCCCACCAAGTAGCTGGAACTACAGGCATGTGCCGCGACACCCTGCTAATATTTGTATTTATTGTAGAGACATGTTTTCACCGTAATACCAAGGCTGGTCTTGAACTTGGGCTCAAGCAATCTGCTGGCCTTGGCTTCCCACAGTGCTGGGATTAACAGGTGTGAGCCACCTCGCCTGGCTGAAAAGCTGGTTTTAAAAAACAAAAAAACAGGCATTCTGATCTCTTGCCAGATTCCCGGCAATTTAAAGGATAATTTGATGTATGTCTCAAAGAGGTAAACAATTCAAAGCAAAATATTTTCAAATCCAGCCAAGGGGTGGGCAGTAGGCAGGAAGCTGATCAGGGAAGAAGGAAAAAAAAAAAAAAAAAAAAAAAGCTCCTTTTTACATTTACCAAAAAAAATTAGAATTCTTTTCTTGCCTGCCTTTTAAAATTTCACTCAACTCTACCATTTTCTGGATACCTCACACTAGTTTCAATTTAAGATTAAGTCCCATCAGGCAGTTCACCTGTAGAAAGCCATGTTACCTCTCTCCTAAAAAATTTTTGTGACTCAAACTATCACGGGATGTAAGTTTTGAAAACACAAAGTTTCTTAGAAATAAAACTATTATTTTATGATAGGGACAGATAATAAATGATAATCTGGTCCATAATCTACGTGCACTATTTGGACAGCTATGGAGTCATTAATCTCCATTATAGGAGTTATTAAGAAATTATGTTGGGCAGATAAGACAAAGGATCCTTGGCAAAGTTTTTTTCTTTTAAAGCAGCTCCAGAAACATTTGTTGCATAGCAGAAAAACAGCTTGAACGGCCGGGCCGGCAAGCTTTGATATGCAAATGCCGGCCACTAGAAACTGGGTCCACTCAACATGGCAATTCCCACCTCTTTCTTGTAACTACAAGTACCTAGCATCCTGGCCGCCCCCACATATCCTCACGTATGTACAACATCTTGGCGCCCTGCATTTGCATATTAAAAAGCTAGGGTGGGAGGGCCAGATTTTTGTGGGCTACATGAATGACAAACCTAGTCAAACCAATCCTCTGGGCCCTATGGAAATCAGACACCACCTCCCTCAACCTCCTAATATGACTGGCTCTTTTCTGACACACTGGGGGTTCCCTCTCTCAGCCTGGAGACCCTCTCCCTCTGTCTCTGTATGGGGGAGCCTCTTCCTTCTTTCTTGCCTAAAAACTCCACTCCTTAAAACAACTCCACATATGTGTCGTTTTATTTAAAACAGCGCAGACAAAGGACCCGGTGTTCCTCCAGTTATCAGAGCTATAGCATTTTGGTGCACTGGCCGTGAATCCGAGGTAAAACATTCATCGGAGCAGTAATAATGGGAGTGAGCGCAAAATCTATCATTCTGAGATGCTCTTGGCGTCTATTTTTAAATCAAATCAAATCAATCAACAGGCATCTGTCAGCTGGTTAGCTACACTTAACCTTGGCTGCCTTTCTAAAGACTCAGATGTGAGGCTTGCTGGTGAGAACATGGAGAACCGCCCCCTCCCCCAATACCCACAGGTCATTGAGAATGTTCGCCATGTTTCGAATGAGTTTCCTTTTATGGGGAGACCTTGCCATCATGCAAGGCTGGGAAAAGTTCTGAGGCAACTGAGAATATCTGGGCAGCGCACACCCTGGCATGATTCAAAGGCCTGTGGTCTAGACCCAGCCTCCTACAGCCCATTTCAGGTGCTGGCAGAGAATCCTCAGCTATCCTGTCACAAGTTTCCTTCGTTTTCTATTCGCAGTCTCTTACTGTCTCTGTGTGTGTCAACTGTGTCGGAATTTGGTAACCAGGAGTTTGGCTCAGGAATGCCATTGCAATCTTCTAACAGAGGGTCTTCCCCACTCCCTCAACAGTGAGCGTCTCCCTCTCTCTCAATCCTTTGGTCTGGAAAACACACAGCATCTCCAGATCTCTCTCTCCACTTCTCTGGGGAGCCAACAGTATTTCTAAGATAACAGTGCCCCCTAGTGGAAATGGAAATCGTCTACAAGAGGCACTTTTTTTTTTTTTTTTAAATGGTAACACCACAGCTTCCTTTTGCACAGCTAGAAATCAGGCTCTAAGCCTCTTCCATGAACGGGAAAATTCTGCTTTCAACAGTTAGGAGTTAGATGTCTTCCACAGCCAAATTTTAGTCTCAATATTGTCCCATCAGCAGGAAAACAGCCATTTAGCTCCTACATTCCTTTAAGGCACCTATTCTGTCATCAACTGAGACAGTACTTAATTAGTAAAGGGGATCTTAAGTCTGGAAGTTAACTGGAACCATTTTTCTAAGGGTAAATGCTTTAGCATGGGCCATAATAGCAAGATACAGAGTTCAATAGAGCACACCCCCTCCATTAAAGGGGCCTGGCCCGATTACATAGTTTTTCACAAGTCTAGGAGGTCAAAGGAACATAATAAGCAAAGGACTGGGACTACTTAAATAAGCGTGACTAGACCTCGAAAGTCTAGTTTCTCTGGTGCCATGGCTTGGCGGGTTCACGCCTATAGCCATGGGCAGCACATTTAACTGGGTGCTGGGACCCAGGAACCAGGGAGGGAAAATAGTTAGAAGAATGTCCCCTACTGTTTTCTTCTCCATCCTGGGTCATACACCAAAAGGAAGAAGACTAAAAGGACACTTTTATTCTCACTTCTCTTTCTAGATCATCTTCTGCATACACTCCTCTGGATTATATTGTAAAGCACTGGGACTCCTTCAACCCTCAGACTTTGAAGAAAAAGTGACTCATATTCTATTGCACAAGGGCATGGCCTTCTTACCATCTTGGGGACAGACAAAACCTGATCTGCCAGGGGAGCCTTGATTTTAATATTATCCAACAGTTAGATCTTTTCTGCAGACAGATGAGCAAATGGACTGAGGTCCCCTATTACAGACCTTTTTTGCCCTGCGAGACCACTCAGACCTTTACAACTTCTGTACAATTGACCCAGTTCTTTTAGCAGCCACAGCAGACAAGCCCACAGGGAATAGTTCCCCAGAGCTAAAGCAGGTTCCAGAGGAATAATCTGAGACAGCTGCTGAGTGTCCCAATCCTTCCAGTCTCCCTTCATACTATCAGCTCCTCCAACTCCACCATCTCCAGTATATCCTACTCTCCCTGCTTCACTCTTCCCTCTGCAGGAAATGCCTGATGGGAATGGTGCCATGAAGGTTCAATTTCCCTTCTCATTACAGGACCTTAAGCAAATAAAGGGAGACTTGGGCCAATTTTCTGATGACCAAGTAGGTATATAGAAATTTTCTAAAACTTAACTCAGGTCTTTGATCTCACATGGAGAGATGTTCTGTTGCTGCTAAGTCAGACCCTCACTGTGGCTGAAAAGAAGGCAGTTCTGCTGGGCACGGTGGCTCAAGCCTGTAATCCCAGCACTTTGGGAGGCCGAGGCGGGTGGATCACGAGATAAAGAGATCAAGACCATCCTGGTCAGCATGGTGAAACCCCGTCTCTACTAAAAATACAAAAAATTAGCTGGGCATGGTGGTGCGTGCCTGTAATCCCAGCTACTCAGGAGGCTGAGGCAGGAGAATTGCCTGAACCCAGGAGGCGGAGGTTGCGATGAGCCGAGATCGCGCCATTGCACAACAGCCTGGGTAACAAGAGTGAAACTCTGTCTCAAAAAAAAGAAAAAAAAAAAAGAAGAAGGCAGTTCTGCAGGCAGCAGAAAAATATATGGAGATTTAAAAAACATGCCTCCTATAGCAGACCAAGGAGAAAAAGAGGAGATAAAGAAGGTAAGGAAGAAGTGGAAACTCCATTCCCACTAGGAAGGAAAGCAGTTCCAGCAGACAACCCTGATTGGAACCCCTATATAACTCAGGAGATGAGTGGAAAAGGAAGCACTTTTTAAGGTGTATACTAGAGGGCCTAAGGAAGATCAGGGCCAAACTTCTCAATTACTCTAAACTGTCCATGATAGACCAAAAATCAGATGAGAACCCCACAGCCTTTATGGAAAGAATGAGAGAAGCACTAATAAAACACACCACTTTATCCCGATTCACTTGCGGAACAGCTCATCTTGAAAGACAAGTTTATACACAGGTAGCTCCTGATATTGGAAGGGAACTAGAGAAACAAGCTATAGAACCAGTTAGCACCCTAGAGAGCCTCCTGAAAACAGCCACTTCAGTGGATCATGAGGAGGCCCAAGAAAAGAAGAGGAAATACAAAAGAACAGAGGCTCTAGTAGCAGTGTTGCAAGCCTGTAAAGTACAGGATCCCTAAGGTGCATCCATTAGCTGTTATCAATGTGGCAAGTAAGGGCATTTTAAGAATAAATGCCCAGGCAACAAGACAAAGTCACCCCAACCCTGTCCAGCCTGTGGCAGAGACCACTGGAGATGGATCTGCTCTCAAAGACAGAGGTCACTGGGTTCAGAACCAGTCTCACAGATGGTCCAACAGGACTGATGGGTCCCAGGGCTCAAACCCCCAGCTCCAGCAGCTCAGACTGCCATTACAGCACAGGAGCCTTGGGTGATTCTGGAAACTAAAGGAAGGAAGGAAGATCTCCTTCTGGATACTGGAGCCAGTCTCTCTTTCCTCCTCTCTAATCCAGGCCTCCCTTCTTCCCAGAGCATGACCATAAAGGGTTAACAGGAAAAACTCTTACCCGATATTTTTCTCAGTCCCTTAGTTGCAGATGGGGGTACTTATTTAAACATGCCTTTTTAATCATGCCTGAGAGTCTCACTCCTTTATTTGGTAGAGATATTCTAGATCCAGGGCCTGCAGCTTTTTGAGGAAGACCTGGTCATAGCTGTTGCGGGTTGTAGATCTGCTCCTGACTCACTGCTGTTCGCTCTGGCCCAGAAACAAGTCGGTCAGGAAGCCATGCAGCAGCCATGGCTTTTAAGGATACCAGAAAAAAGCCCATGGAGCCAGAGGTGGCAGTTCATCAAATCTGAATCACTCTAATCAGCTGCAATGTAAAATCCCTGGAGAAGGTGTGTGCTGACTTGATTAGAGGAGCAAAGGAAGAAAATCTCAGTGAAAGGACCAGTTCTAATGCCTACGAAGACTTTGAGAATCACTACAAGAAAAATTCCTTGTGGTGAAGGTTCTAAAACATGGGATTGTTTCCAGATGAGAAACCACAAGCAACTCATTGAGTTGCACAGTCCTTCTGAGATTGTTAAGCAGATTACTTCCATCAGTATTAAGCCAGGAGTTGAGGTGGAAGTCACCACTGCAGATGTTTAAGTCAACTATTTTTAATACATCGATTATTAGTTGAAAAAAAAAACTCTTTGTCTCCCCCTGATGGAAGCTACCATTAATCCACAAGTGTGGGCAACTTAAGGAAGAATAGGTTGAGCTATAACTGCTAGGCCAGTCCAGATCTATCTTAAGGATCCCACTTCTTTTCCTAACCAGAGACAGTATCCCCTAAGACCAGAGGCTAGGAAAGGGCTAGAAGCCATTATTAAAAACCTAAAGATGCAGGGCCTCCTCAAACCTTGTAATAGCCCCTGCAATACCCAATGAGGAATGGAGCCTAGTTCAGGACCTTCACCTCATTAATGAAGCTGCAGTTCCAATCCATCCAGTGGTCTCTAATCCCTATACCCTGTTAACTCAAACACCTGAGGGAACTAAATGGTTTACAATCCTAGATTTAAAGGATGCCTTTTTCTGCATACAGTTACATCCTGACTCTCAATACCTGTTTGCCTTCGAATATCCCTCCAGCCAGACTCCCCAGTTAACATGGATGGTGTTGCCTCAGGGATTTCGAGATAGTCCTCATCTGTTTGGACAGGCACTGCCACAAGACCTCTCTGAGTTATTTCATCCTTAAGTTAGGGTCTTGCAGTAATATTGATGATATTTTGCTCTGTGCCCCAAATGAGGATGCTTTTCAGGAAGGCAATGAAGCTCTTCTCACCTTCTTAGCTAAAAGAGGATGTAAGGTTTCAAAGCCCAAGGCCCAGCTATACAAACCTAAGTAAAATACCTAGGCTTAATGCTGTCGGAGGGGACCAGAGCATTAGGGAAGGAGAGAATTAAGCCTATTTCTTCCTTTCCCCTCCACCAAATCCTCAAGCAACTAAGAAGATTTAAGGGCATTACAGGATTTTGTAGACTATGGATACCTGGGTATGGCAAAATAGGCTGTCCATTTTATAACCTAATAAAAGAAACTCAGGAAGCTAAAACTCATCTTTTAACCTAAGAACCTGAAGCTCAAAAGGCCTTTGACGAGCTAAAGCAAGACTTGCTTAAGGCACCAGCTCTCAGCCTTCCTATAGGAAAGGAATCTGTATGTATCATAAAGGAAGGTAATGGCCCTGAGAGTATTAACACAGGCCCAAGGACCAGCTGAACGGCCAGTGGGTTACCTAAGTAAGGAACTTGAGTTGGTAGCTAAAGGATGGCCAGCATGCCTCCGAACCATTGCCTCAGTGGCTCTGCTGGCCCCAGAAGCCTCCAAATTAACTCTAGGAAATGATTTAACTACTTATGCCTGCCCCAACATGGCAGGACTACTGCACTATAGGGGGAAGCTTTTGTGCAGTAGTCTAGAGGGGGAAAGCTGACTCCTTAAATATCAGGCCCAGCTGTTAAAAGGTTCCAACATCCAATTAAAGACTTGTTCTGTCTAAATCCAGTCACCTTCCTCCCCAAGGAAACTGAGGAATCTGAGCATCATTGAAAGCAAATCATAGTACAGACCTATGCAGCCAGGGAAGATCTCAAGGAAACTCCCCTAAAGAACCCAGACTGGACCCTCTTCACAGATGGGAGTTCTTTTGTAGAACAAAGGATCCATAAGGCAGGATACGCAGTAGTCACTCTACATGACAACACTGAAAGTGTGTCACTCCCTCCAAGCACAAGAGCTCAATTAGCTAAGCTAATAGCTCTCACAAGAGCAAGTGAATTAAACAAAGGAAAGGTAGCTAATATTTACACTGACTCCAAATATGCTTTCCTGGTTCTCCATGCTCATATTGCCATCTGGAAGGAAAAGCATTTTCTTACCACCAAAGAATCTATAAAGTATCACCAGGAAATTAACAGGTTATTATCCTCAGTTTTCTTTCCATGAGAAACAGCAGTGATGCATTATAGGGGACATCAAAAGAAAACAGATGAGGTAGCCAAAGAAAACAGATTAGCTTATCAGGTAGCTAAGTCAGTAGCAAGGAAGCCTCAAAACAGCACACTTCAAACCCCTCTAAACTGGGAAGGCTCCATAAGAGAAATTAAACCTCAGTACTCCCCTGCAGAAATAAGATGGGCCACTTCTTGAGGGTATACATTTCAGCCTTCAGGATGGCTACAGTTGAAGAATGGCAAACTCCACTTGCTAGCCTCCAGCCAATGGAAAGTCCTTAAAATCCTTCACCAAGCTTTTCATCTGGGAAAGGAAAAACTTATCAATGTGCTCAGAGATTGTTTTCAGGAGAGAACTTACTAAAAACAATTAAGCAAGTTGTTAATGCTTGTGAAGTCCGTCTTAAAAATAATTCCCTGAACAGGCAACTCCTTCCTCCTCAAACCCAAAGAATAGGAAATTATCCAAGGGAGGAGTGGCAGATAAACTTCACCCACATGCCAAAGACAAAGGGCATTCAATACCTGCTGGTATGGGTTGATACCCTCACTAACTGGGTAGAAGCATTTCCATGTTGTACAGAAAAAGCCTCTGAGGTAATAGAAGTGTTAGTTAATAAAATAACTCCCAGCTTTGGTCTACCTAAGTACCTTCAAAGTGACAATGACACTGGGCCCTCGTTTAAGGCAGCTGTCACACAAGGGGTCTCGAAAGCACTAGGCATAGAATATCATCTCCATTGTGCTTGCAGACCCCAAACCTCAGTAAAGATAGAGAAAACTAATGATATTATCAAAAGAAATCTCAGAAAATTGTCCCAAGAAACTCACCTTCCTTAGGTCACTCTTCTTCCCATGGCCTTACTATGAATAAGAAATTCCCCTTTAAAATTAGGTCTTAGCCCATCTGAGATACTGTAAGGACAGCCTTTCCTCACCCAATGATTTTTCTATTAGATTGAGAAACGCCTGAGCTAGTTAAGCATGTACCTCTCTGGCTCACTTCCAACAGGAATTAGCACAATTAGTGAAAGCCCAACCCCAGGGAATTGGACTACTTCTAATTAACCCAGGATATTTGCCACTGGTAAAGGCTCTCCCTTCTTGCTCTCCCTCCCTACGGTCAACCTAGGAAGGGCCTTATGCTTTTCTTCTTCCAACCCACCCCTCAGCAATAAAAGTTACAGGAATTGACTCCTGAATACATCACACTCGAGTCAAATCCTGGAGTAACGAGAGAGCAACCCCTGACAGCCCAGAGAAACGTCCCGAATATCAATGTGAAGAAACAGAAGAATCTTAAGCGGAAAATCACAAAAGATGAGTAACTGAATGAGAACTACTCATCTTATTCAGTCTCACCCCTACCTCAACAAATACTTTTTGTCATTTCTACCTCTTCTTTTGAGACAAATATTAGAACTTATTTTTGGTGGAAATTATTTACTACTCCACTCTTGCAGGAATTGCTATACTCACTCAAAGTAGAACTATATACTATAGCACCCTCAGGGTGAAATGTCAGAGAAAGAATCTCAATTACTGTAGCATTTTGCTTAATTATTAACCTCACAGCAAGAATAACAGTTACTAACAGGGAGTAAACATAAGTGTTTTACTATCACTAAATATGTTAGGATTTTTTATCAATTTTAGTAATACACCATTTAGCTCCTATAATATCTGCCATGGCCCATTTGTAGGACAAGACTAATTGTTGAGTCTCTCCTAAGTGGTTCACCTCAGTTCAGTGACACTAAAGAACCTTACAATGACCCAGTACTCACTGTCTTAGGATTCCCTTTGTTGGCTTTACTTTTAACCCTTAAAGACTCGCCTGATAAACATGGGAGCACTTTCAACAGGGTGACTACTCTTCTCAGGAGAAGATTCAAACATAAGCTTCACACCCTCAGGCTAGGAAAAGTTGACTGAGTAATAGCAAATGCTTCCCTCTGCTTTAAAAGTAGTGGGGAAGGACCACATTTGGGATATCTCAGATGTTATAACATCACACTTGTAATTGCTGATAGTTCAAAGATTTGGGGAGAAGAGCACAAGGGTGATCTACAAGGATCAGAAGCCCTAATGGGGGACTTTCAGAATCTAACCTCTCCTTCTGGTTGGAAGCGTTGATGGGAGTGCATGCTCTAAGTAATCACCTTGACTATATTGTAAAGAATAACACATGACTCTTGCTAAACATGCCCCAACATGGAATTCCAAACCCTTGTATGATGTTTGCTAATAGTAGCAGCTTACAGATCTGTGGGCAAACTGGAGACATCTGGACTGAGATGTCTGAGAAACTGGCCAGGGTATATTATATCTCTAATTTTTCAAAACTCCATTTGCCAGGTGGATCCTTCTCTGACTTGGCATGTCAAATTCCAAATGGCATCGTAAATGACTATCCTAAATATGGTTATCTTTATCCCAAGGATGGCTCTATTATACATAAAGGAAACTTCTAAGATATCACAAGCCATAACTTAGAACCATTCCTTCAAGTAACAGGGCTATATTTTCTTTGTGGCTCCTGGATACACTTAATCCTCCCAAGGCATTGGAAAGGAACTTGTACTATAGCTATAGTAGTTCCCAACTATTTTTAAATTCTACTGAGATGGCAGCAGCATCTGGGGACATCCCTAACTACAGGCTGTTTTCTAGAAACTGCACTAACTCGAGTACACTGGACAAAAAAAAAAAAATCTATCATTTCTATGCCCTCATACAGAGATTTAACTGAAAGGGCAGACTGGGGAGAGGATGTACATGACAATCCCATCTTAGAAAAAAACCATGGCTGGACAATTCTATTGCCAGAGGTACATTCTAGTTTATGAGTATCCCTCTCCTTGAAAGGTCAATACTTAGTATCTCTATTATGATGCAACAAGGATGGAAGGCAACTGTAGGGGTCATAGAGGTGCAACAATCTATAGACTCTTTAGCCTAGTAGCAGCACAAAATACACAGGCCTTAGATGTCCTTATAGCTGAAGCAGGAGGTACCTGTGCACTTTTAAATGAAACATGCTGCTTCTGGATTAACACTTCTAGTAGAAGAAAATATACAGGTACTTAAAGATCAAATCAAAATTACTGACAGGCTAAGGGAAAATGCAGGCTTCCATCCAAGTGACTACAATCCCTCTTTAATGAATTCCAGTCTTCTTTATGGAATTGGTTGTCCCCTTTATTAAGTCCCCTTTTGCTTATTTGTCTTGTATTAATATTTGGACCTTGTATACTCAATATTGTAACTCAAATTGTTTCTTCTTGCCTAGAAGCAATCAAATTCCAAGTGGTGCTGCAAATGGAACCATACATAGACACGCCATTCTTCCAAGGACCCTTGGATCGACCCCAGGAGGAGCCCTAGCTGCTGTTCCCCATTCAATGCCCCTTTTTAGCAGGAAGTAGCCAGAAAGAGTCACAGCCCAAAACCCCGTTAACAGCAGTTAGGGTGACATATCCTCAGGGGGGAATGTTATAGGAGTTGTTAAGAAATTATTTGGCCATTGCTCTCACTGCTGCTACTGCTGACCTTACCACCGCTGCTTCGTCTCTGAGGTCCAACTGCTCCCAGTGCCATGAATGGCAACAGCACCTTTGCAAAGAGTCCCAGGGATGATGCTCAGATATCAAAGAAGAGACACACAGCCTTCAATGTTACTGTCAGATACTTCTCTAAGAAGAATTGGGAAAAGCTGAAAAACTCAAAGAAAATCACCCATGGGTATATGAAGAGAAACATGAGACCATGACTAAACTAGGTATCAAGGCCACTCTCCCAACTTTCATGTATAATAAATGGGCCACAGACCTCCAGGGGAATGATTCTGATAGACACCATAGCTGTGGGAATCAGGATGAACATCCTCAGATGGCTTTCGGCTTGCTATAAGGGAACTTTCCAAAGATGATGCCCAAGAAGCCAGCAGAGGAAGGAAATTATTCAAAGGGAGTGCCAGAAGCATCTGTCTCACAAAACGATGGAAAACAGCTGTGCCCCCCACCCGGGGAAAAGAAAGTACCTCTTGAGAAGATTAACAAGATAACTGGACCCACAGAGTGTGAGAGAGGAAGTTATCTAGTGATTTATGAAGAGATTAGTCACCCTGATGAAGATGAAGAATAACTCCCCTTAGGGATAGGATGCATGCCTATGATGAGAAGCAGAACCTGGTGACCTTTCACGAACATGGGCATGGCTGTGAATCCCTCATCATCAGGGGTACAGCAAGTGAAAGCAAGAGTTCATAACAGTGAAAAGTTGAACATCATTTTTCTTACAGTGTGCCAACAGTTAGGTATCAGCATTTTCCCTGTATTTTCTTAGTGTGTGCCATCCTGTTGGATACTTGCATTTGTGTTGGTAAGCAATACATAGTAAATGCATATTTCTGTTTGTGTATCCATGCACCTACCTCAGAAAACAAGTATTGTCAGGTACTCTCTGCAAAGAACAGCACTACCCTCCTCTCTCCCCAGATGTGACTACTGAGGGCAGTTCGGGGTGTTTCAGATTCTTTTTCTCTGCATTTACACACACACACACACACACACACACACACACACACACACGGAGTACTATAAGTATCTCCCATCTGCTTTTCCCCCCTGCTAATGAGTCCTGGGCAAGCCCCACCTCACTCTGTTTCCTGTTCAACATGCACTTCTTGCTGCAAATTCCCCTCATCCGATCCCCCTGTATCAGTCACTGACAGTTAATAAACATTTACAAACTTTCAAAAAAAAATATTTTAGGCAGATAGAGAGAACAAGGGTCCTTGGAAAGGTTTTTTTCTTTTAAAGCAGCTCCAGAAACGTTTCTAGCCTAGCAGGAAAACAGCCTTAAGAGCTGAGCTGGCAAGCTTTGACATGCAAATACAAGCCATTAGAAACTGGGTCCACTCAATATGGCAATTCCTGCCTCCTCCTCCTTGTCACTATAAGTGCCTAACATCATGGCCACCTTCATATATCCCCAGGTGTGTAGAGAACATCCTGGCTCCCTGCATTTGCATATTAAAAGGCTAGAGTGGGAGGGCAAGTTTTTTCCATAGGTTACCTAAATGACATATTGGTCAAACAAATCCCCTGGGCCCTACGCAAATCAGATACCGCCTCCTCCAGCCTCCTAAAATAACTGGCTGCCTTCCACCATACTCTGAGTTCCACCACACTCAGAGATCCCCCTCTCAGCTTGGAGACACCCTCCATCTCTATACAGGAGAGCCTCTTCCTTCTTTCTTGCCCATTTATTAAACTCTCTCTGCTCCTTAAGATCACTCTACATGTGTCCGTGTCGTTATATTTAAACCAGCGTGAGACAAAGGACCCTGGTGATTCTCCAGTCATCAGAGCGGTATCACCTACATCCATGATTGTGTGACAAGAGCATTTTCAGATCCATGGGTTCATCACACATCTCTAAAATCAATTCAGTTCAGCTCGGCTGGGTAAGGGTACCACAAGCATACTCTCTCTACCAGGCTGAGAAGCAAAATGGTGGTGAAAATGAATGAATGAACAATATATACTGAAGGTAAAACTGAGGTCCATAAAGATACAAAAATATACCTCCAACAATTTTAATTTCTGCAAACATACTAGAGCTGAAGCAAGAGAATAGGATCTGGAGGCAGGGAACCTAAGGCCAATACATGCAGACTTCCTAGAACTAAATTAAAACAAAAACCCCAACTTTGCACACCCAAGTAACAAAAGGACAGAGCCTACTTCCTTTGCATCCGTACCCTCCTGCCCTACCTTTACTGTGTGGCAGATAAAAAAACTGAAAGTATCTCTGATTGGTCATCTCCTGCAACCAATCAGGCTGGTCTTCAGTCAAGTCTTCATTTGCATATAAATATAATTTTGTAGCTTCACTTCAGCCTCTGATTGATCACTTTCCACAACTAATCAGATATCTGCATAGGATATAACTATGTAACTTCACTTCAGCCTCTGATTAGTGCTTTATTCTGCAACCAATCAGACTGATCATAGGCCACTACTTCATTTACATAGGGTATACACCAAATAACAAATGGGAAACCTCTTGAGCGTATTTAAACCCAGAAAATTCTGTAACCAGGCCCTTGAGCTGCTTGCTTGAGCCCACTCCTACCCTGTGAAGTGTGCTTTCATTTTCAATAAATCTCTGCTTTTGTTGCTTCATTCTTTCCTTGGTTTGTATATTTTGTCCAATTCTTTGTTCAAAGCACCAAGATCCTGGACACCTTCCACCGGTAACAGAGCTGTAATAACATTATACACCAGGTTTACGAATTTACAATTCAAATATTTAATTTTCAGTAATAATGTAAATTAACAAGAGAAATTTAGAGATAAAGAACACAGTCTTGTTTGATTTACAGAAGAATGTAAAGCAAATTGTTTTGAATACTGCCTTGAAATTATGATTTCACAAGCGAAAAGGTTCTTTGTATAACCTCTGACTTACTACCATCTATAAATAAAGAACTAAAGTACAAAGAGGTTAAATTACTTGACCAAGAACAGAGCTCAAAATAAAATCTTGTTATCCTATTTCTCAATCTAGTGTTATCTACATTTTCCTATGCTACATCTCTCGGGGCTTTTTTTCCCTTTGGATTCTGCCTTCCAAGTACAGACATCTAGCATTATGGGTTAAAAAACAGGGCTTAGGGTTAAACAGACTAAGAGAATCTCATTTCCACCACTTGAAAAGCTATATAGCCATGGATACATTAACATCCTCTATATTTTTTATTTTTTTATCAGTAAAAAGAAGATAAATGTATTTTACCTCAAAAAAATTCCATAATAAAAGAATTTTAAAATAAGTTATATTTTATGGGTAACATATTGCATAATTTAATGAGATATTTTTGTTAGTTTTAAGTCTTATTGATCAAATGATTCACTGTGACAGCTGGAAGTCATGGTATTGAGTATCCATTATCAGAGTCCTGAAAGTTTCAAAGTTGCAAAAACATAGTATTATTCACCAATAAACTGACTGTTAATAAAAAGCAGAATAGGCTACAGAATGGTTGAAATATCACCTACCTTATATATAAAATGGGTTTATAGTTGTAACACATAATTTTTTAATTAAATGAAAAATTTATGCAAATCTCTTATGATGATGATGATGCCTTGTATATACTAAATGCTCCATAAATGTAAGTATCATTATTACCAAAAGATTAAACGGGAGTTCTCTATTTCCTTAAACCCAGTACTAAGGGTATATGGATGAGCAAAAGTAATGGCGGAAACAACACTGTCATGTGTTATAACTGTATAAATTTGGTGTGTATATATATGGGTTCACCATTTTGCCTTCCTTCTACTTTGGTGTGTGTTTGAAATTTTATGGGAAAAAAAAGAGAAAAAGATAGAAAAAGAAGATATTTTACATTAATATGAAGTGTTTGACTCTGAAATAAACATGGATAAATAGGAACAGCTCTGGATTGCAGTTCACAGCGAAAATGCAGAGGGTGAGTGATCGCCACATTTCCAAACGAATTTTTACTGAACACAGACCAGGAGAGTCCTGGGCAGAAAAGTGCCAAGAGTCTTCAGCGTGGCTGTTTCAGCCTGTGCAGCAGGTCTGCACACAAAAACAAATCCGGGTGCCGTTTAAACTAGAAACTAGAATGCCTGGGAGACAGAGTTGCCCATTCAACTGAAAAAAGAAGGGGCTAAAACAGGGAGCCAGGTGATCTGACTCCGCTGGTCCCACCAACACAAAGACCAGCAATCTGAAACACTCTGGATTAAGAGTTTCACAGCAAGCACAGCCAGACAGAGACAATCCAGCTCTGTTGGGGGAAGGGCATCCGCCATTACCTAGGCAGTCCGCCATAATCGAGGCAGTCCGCCATTACAAAGGCAGTCCATTACTGAGGCAGTTTGCCATTACTGAGGCAGACCGCCATTACCGAGGCAGATCGCCATTACCGAGGCAGACCGCCATTACCGAGGCAGTTGTAACTATATCCCTATAAACAAAACTGCAAGAAGTTCAAACAGCAGCTAGCTCAGCAACACCTCTGCTGGCTGACTGTGACTAGGCTATCTCCTTGCTGGGCAGGTCATCTCTGAAAAAAGGCAGCAGAATGACAGGAACTTATAAATACAGCCCAACCTTCCCAGGACAGAGCACCTGGGAAAAAAAGGCGGTTATGAGTTCCACTGCAGCAGACATAAACATATCTGCCCAGCAGCTCTGAACAGAAAAACAAAGCTCACAGCTCAGCACTAGAGCTCCTATAAGGGACAGACTGTCTCCTCAAGCAACTCCCCGACCCCCGTATAACCAGAGACACCTCATAAGGAGAGCTCAGGCTGACATCTGGTGGGTATTCTTCTAGGACAAAGATAACAGAAGAAACTGGCAGCCACCCTTACTGTTCTGCAGCTGCTGCAGGTGATCCCCAGGCAAGTAGGGTCTGGAGTGGACCTCCAGCAGTCCTATAGCAGGGGGGCCTGATTGTTAGAAGGAAAACTAAGAAACAGAAAGAAGTAACTTCAACAGCAACAAAAAGTACATCCATTCAGAGACCACATTCGAAAGTCACCAACTACAAAGACCACAGGTACATAAATCCACAAAGATGGGAAGAAACCAGCACAAAAAGGAGGAAAATACCCAAAACCAGAATGCCTCTCCTCCTCCAAGGGATCACAACTCCTCACCAGCAGGGAATAAGGCTGGATGGAGAATGAGTCTGATGAATTGACAGAAACAGACTTCAGAACGTAGGTAATAACAAACTTCTCTGAGCTAAAAGATCATGTTCTAACTCAATGCAAAGAAACTAAGAACACTGAAAAAAGGTTAGACAAAATGCTAACGAGAATAAACAGCTTAGAGAGGAATATAAATGATTTGATGGGGCTGAAAAACACGAGAACTTCGCAAAGCATACATAAGTTTCAATAGCTGAATTGACCAAGCAGAAGAAAGGATATCAGAGATTGAAGAGCAAGTCAATGAAATAAAACAAGAAGGCAAGATTAGAGAAAAAAGAGTAAAAAGAAATGAACAAAGCTGCCAAGAAATATGGGATGTGAAAAGACCTAATCTATGTTTGATAGGTGTACCTGAATGTGATGGAGAGAGGGAATCCAAGCTGGAAAACACTCTTTAGGATATTACCAGGAGAACTTCCCCAATCTAGCAAGGCAGGCTAACACTCAAGTCCAGGAAATGCAGAGAAAACCACAAAGACATTCCTCAAGAAGAAGAACCCCAAGGCACATAATCGTCAAAATCACCAGGGTTGAAATGAAGAAAAAATGAAGGGCAGCCAGAGAGAAAGGTCGGGTTATCTACAAAGGGAAGCCCTTCAGACTCACAGCTGATCTCTCAGCACAAACCCTACAGGCCAGAAGTGAGTGGGGACCAATATTCACCATCCTTAAAGAAAAGAACTTTCAACCTAGAATTTCATATCCAGTCAAACTAAGCTTCATAAGTGAAGGAGAAATAAAATCCTTTATGAAGAAGCAATTGCTCAGAGATTTCATCACCGCCAGACCTACTTTACAAGAGCTCCTGAAGGAAGCACTAAACAGAAAGAAACAACCAGTACCAGCCACTCAAAAAACGTACCAAATGGTAAAAAGCATCAACACAATGAAGAAACTGTGTCAACTAACAGGAAATACAACCAGCTAGCATCAAAATGGCAGGATCAAATTCACACATAACAATATTCACCTTAAATGTAAATGGGCTAAATGCCCCAATCAAAAGACACAGGCTGGCAAATTGGATAAAAATTCAAAACCCATCAGTGTGCTGTGTCCAGGAAACCCATCTCACGTGCAAGGATACACATAGGCTCAAAATAAAGGGATGGAGGAAGATCTACCAAGCAAATGGAGAGCAGAAAAAAGCCAGAGTTGCAATCCTACTCTCTGATAAAATAGACTTTAAACCAACGAAGATTAAAGTAGACAAAGAAGGGCATTCCATAATGGTAAAAGGATCAATGAAACAAGAAGACCTAACAATCCTAAACATAGACACACCCAATACAGGAGCACTCAGATACATAAAGCAAGTTCTTAATGACCTATAAAGAGACTTAGACTCCCACACAATAATAGTGGAATACTTTAACACTCCACTCTCAACATTAGACAGATCAACAAGACAGAAAATTAACAAGGATATCCAGGACTTAAACTCAGACCAGGAACAAGTAAACCTAATAGAAATTTACAGAATTCTCTACCCCAAAACCACAGAATATGCATTCTTCTCAGCACCACATTGCACCTACTCTAAAAGTGACCACATAATTGGAAGTAAATCACTCCTCAGCAAATGCAAAAGAACAGATAACATAACAGTCTCTCAGACCACAGAGCAATCAAATTAGTACTCAAAATTCAGAAAGTAACTCAGAACTGCACAACTTCATGGAAACTGAACAACTGGCTCTTGAATGTTGACTGGATAAACAATGAAATGAAGGCAGAAATAAAAATGTTCTTTGAAACCAACGAGAACAAAGAAACAATGTACCAGAATCTCTGGGACACACTTAAAGCAGTGTCTAAAGGAACATTTACAGCAAGAAATGCTCACATGAGAAGCAAGGAAATATCTAAAATTGACATCCTATCATCAAAATTGAAAGAGCTAGAGAAGCAAGATCAAAAAACTCAAAAGCTAGCAGAAGACAAGAAATAACTAAGATCAGAGCAAAACTGAAGGAGACAGAGACACAAAAAAAATCCTTAAAAAAAAAAAAAAATCAATAAATCCAGGAGCTGGTTTTTTTTTGAAGAGATCAACAAAACAGAACACTAGCCAGATTAATAAAAAATAAAAGAAGAATCAAATAGATGCAATAAAAAATGATAAAGGGGATATCACCACAGATTCCACAGAAATACAAACCACCATCAGAGATTACTACAAACAACTCTATGCACATAAAACAGTAAACCTGGAAGAAATGAATGAATTCCTGGACACTTGCATCCTCCCAAGCCTAAACCAGGAAGAAGTCGAAACCCTGAACAGACCAATAACAAGGGCTGAACTTGAGACAGCAATTAACAGCCTACCCACCAAAAAAAGCCCAGATGGGTTCACAGCCAAATTATACCAGACATACAAAGAGGAGCTGATACCACTCCTTCTGAAACTATTCCTAACAGTCCAAAAAGAGGGAATCCTCCCTAAATCATTTTATGAGAAGAACATCATCCTGATACCAAAACCCAGCAGAGACTTGACAAGAAA